ACATCGTCTGGGGAGAAGAGCCATGTTCGCCGTGGATCTGGAATGTCGAGACTGAGAAATGCTACAGAAAATTTTGCGATATAGTACATGCAGTTGAAGGTGAAAAAATCTGTAAAAAGTACAATGGCCATTTGGTTACTATATGCAGTGAGGAGGAGAACAAATTCGTTGCAGACCTTGCACGCAATAATGTACCTAAGGGTGGAACCTTGAATCCTACGTGGATTGGGCTGAAACGCGGCCCAAGTAGAAAGTATTGGCTATGGATGAGCGGTTCCACTTGCAAATATCGCCGGTGGGCTAGGAGTGAACCAAATGATATTACCGGTGATGAAGATTATAGTCACCTCTGGGTCATTCTGCCGAATGAATACCGTGACTGGAACGACAGCGAAAACAGCCGGCCTCATGATTATCTTTGTGAAGCACCCTACTGTCCTTTGGACAATTAATATGTTGAATAAAAAAGTCAAATACTAATTCTGTATATTACAACTCGAGTGGGAGCGTAGCTATTCCAATTCAGCTCCACAAATACCGAATATGCAAAAGCACATTCAGCATAGTATCATCTGAAATAATTCGGTAAATATACGGCTCTCAACAAAAATAAAAATTGTAGGCTCAAAGAAAAACTTTCACCTTAGTGAAAGGAAGCGAATGGTTGAAGTGAGCTTCTCTCCCTCTTGGTCACAGACCAGCATTTCAAAATAGAAACGGTAAACTTATCGAATCCGTGACAAGTGAACGTGGTAGCCCGGTTCGTAATTCTTCAGTGGAAGAACAAACAATGGACACAGAATTTTACAGACAACATTCCATTCCACGGCATAACCTTACCTGTTGTCCTCAACACTCGCAGAAATGACGCATCGAAAGAGAGCGCTAGTCATCGGACTGCGCCACGTCCACTCATTTAAGCCAAAACCCACTGTAAGAACAGCTCCTACAGTAACCCCACAGTGGGTTCCGTTGTCTTAGTCGTTTCTGTGCCAAGAACGATCGAACGACAAGATTTGGGATGCAATTATATGAAATAACCAATCGGGTTGCCCGGCTAACGCCGGGCTTCCCTCCTTCTTATGATAGAGTTTAGATAATCGGCAAACAGTTCGCCACTTCTTTAGAATAAATGATACTTTTAGGAACACAAATTCGTTAGAGGAGCAAAGGGCATGCAAACGATATTCAAAATGTGCCAATGCCTATGCCTTCGATTAGAAGTCTCGACATCCGAAGTCTTATATGGTACGCACAAATGTTGTCGAGCATAATAATACTGTTATCAAATGTCTTCATTAACGTAGCTTCTTTTCTCTACGGTTACATCGTTGAATGAGGATCCAAGATTATTAACGGTCGGATATCTTTGCCAAGAATGATATCAAGGCAGTGAGGAGCCGGGATCCTTCATTTAATCGCAAACTTTGCTGGGTAGCGGTCGTAAGCAAGAAGTAAACCAAATTTAATTTCCTTATAAACGGTCCCTATCATTGCACTTACCCTTCTTGTCGAATGGAACATATCAAAGAATCGAAGCTAGTTCGTAAACAACAGAGGCGCTAGGATTCAATTGGTGAATGGATCCTATTCTCTAAGGTCTTTTCCATCGTCAATGTCCCCATTCTACGCCTCTACTCCTATTGATTTTGCTCTCCAAGTCCATAGAGTCAAGAGTTGGGATTTCCGTTCAGACACTTATTTCGCGCACATCCCGCCTCCATGGGAGCGGTGCCGTCCTCCTACCTACTATGTGTTCCCACCCCGTCGATTGTGCTCCTACCAAATTTGAGCGTTCTAGATCCACGGAAACAGGAGCTATGAATTTCCGGTCGGACTCACACACAAACACACAGATTAGTGCGTTATACATAGTAGGATGTTGTAGGCTTGAATCAACTGGTGCGCAAAATGAACAAGGGTAGGCTTGACTTTGCTTCCACAAGTTCTCTTATCTTAGCGAAATCCCCATCATGCTCTCTCAGTTGAATGCGACGCATGGTGGAGTTCATTATACGCACCTTCCCATCCGTTGCATGTGTTGATGGGTTCATTTACCCCTCCAAGCGGGTGAACAAAATGAGCTGAAATGGGGACCCATGGGTAAGGGGAGATTAGTAATTGCTCGTGACACCATTAGATGGTTTCACATATGTAGAATACATAGCTGAAGGGGGAGTTTTCCGGGTTTATGATCGTTCTTCAATTCAGATCCAGATGTTCCAGGTCTCAAGAGCTTCATTGTGATTAACGCCATTGTTTCGGGGCTACTCAGCCGTATGCCTGCTATGACTTCACGAATAATTATCAGTATCGTAATTTTCACTAAGGTCATCGTCTGGGGACAGTGCCCATGTTCGCCGTGGATCTGGAAAGCTGAATTTGAGAAATGCTCCAGAAAATTTTGCGATGCAAAAACTGCCGATCAAGCTGAAAAGACCTGTTAAAAGTTCAATGGCCTTTTGGTTACTGTGTGCAGTGAGGAGGAGAACAGATTCATTGAAGGCCTTGCCCATCAAATCCAGATATTGAAGGTCAGTTGAATCTACGTGGATTGGGCTTAAACGCGACTTCAGTAGAAGGAATTGGGTATGGATGAGCGGTGCCACCTGCCAATATTTTCACCGGGGTCCAGGAGAACCAAATGACAATAGTGGCGATGAAGAATACACTTACTCGAGCGCGAAGATAAACTACGAGAACTGGAGCGACAACGGAAACAGAAGTTTTCACTATCTTTGTGTAGAGCCATCGTGACTTTTAGATGAATAACCTGTTGAATAAAAAAGTAAAGTGCAAATTCTATATATCACATCCTTGATTTTCGAGCATCCTCAACTCTTCGTTCGACAAACCAACGAATATTCATGCAGTCTTTTTGCCGTTCCTATTCTCTTTTTCTTTAAAAGATACGAATACCTATCCTCAACAGCACTGTAATTACGATTCTACTTCTTTAATCGAACTCTTTCCGAATACACATAATTTGCAAAACTATACATCTGAGATAAACGTCGAACTGGTTCACGTCTTCTATTTTCTCCTCGGATTGAGGATCTCATCCTTTAAAGATCTCCCTGCCAGTACCTGTAAAAATGAACTAGCACCATGACTGTAGAACTCGAATCCGACCTTACCTCAGCTCGCGTGGGAGCGTAGCTATTCCAATTTAACCCCACAAATACCGGATATGTAAAAGCACATACAGCATAGTAGCACCTGAAATGATTCGGTAAATATACGGCGGCCCCCAAAGAATGAGGTTCTATTGGTCAAAGTTTGAAAAAAATTGCAGGGGCGAAGAAACATGCACTTTTACCTCAACAAAAGCATGCGAGTGGGTCTCTCCAAGTAGTACCATGGCATAGACATCGTTTACTAGAAGGTGACGCTAGATGAGGACGTAAAAGGTGGAACAGAGCAAACCGTGAAGTGCACAGTTACTTGTGGAAACACCTCTTACATCATTGACCAACGACATGAGATTCCTTCATTTGCTTGTAAACGAGTCATCATCAACAAAGTGTAAACAACAATAATCTGATGTGGGAATAACAACGAAATCAACATGATATCCGAAAGATATTTGTAAGAACATTGAAACACAGTCCGTTCAGTTAACTTCTTGACGCACGGTGACGACCTCACCCGACTTGATTCTCTTTTGCATCAAGCGTTTTTGCTGGAAAAAGGAAGGTTTAGTTTTGGATGCACTCATTACCACAAAAAGAAAGATCATGAAACTGTGAGATACAAAACCAGTAAAGATAGAATAGAACAACAATGATCCCCATAAACTCATCACGAAAAGCATTAAGAAGGTTGAACATCTTCCGCTGCAGTTCGACAAGTATTAAGGGGGTCGCCTGCCGTCTGTTGCAGTGCTTCCCATCACTACCTAATGGAAACTTTATATGACATTGTACACGACTTGACACCTAGTACATACTCATTCCTCATGGAATACAAGAAGTTCTATTGAAATCCCTAATTGTTCATTTCGCTAAGTATCCCTTGCTGTTGGTTGATTACGTTTGAGAGCGGCTTTTCAGGGATCGCTATTATCTTCCTCTACACAACCAGTGGCACACCATTGCATAACAAAACACAAATTTGAATAGGGAAAATATAACAAAAATTTCGAATAAGAAGATAAAAAAGACGAGCTAGCACGCCCAACTCAGCGATTAAACGATGTCCACTCTTTCATGCGTCTTAGAATGCCAGCAACAATGAGTTAAAAACGAGAATGAGGACATAGAACGGTAATTCGGATAAAAACTACAGAAGAAACTCAGAAAGTACAACTGGTTCGGACCAAAACATACCATTCGTTTCTTCTTGATAGCATGCTTCCGCTTCAATTTGGCAGGATCCACAGTTGGCTTCAAGCCATCGCGTTCCTCCCACTCATCATGTACTGAAAGGCAGAATGAGGAAACGCGTTGTGCTTTGCAAACACCCTTCTAAAAATGTAAGTAACAAGTCGCGGTTACCTGTCGGATACAGAATAGTATGGCCAGACTCTTCTTCCACAACACGGAGTTTACCGTTTCTCCTAACAGCGAGCTGAAAGCAAATATTTGTTTGCTTTATTTCGATAGCTCTTACTGAAAGGAACTTGGACATGAAAACGCTCTCAACCACATTCATTCATAACTCACACCGCACGTTCACCAAAGTGAGAAATATTTCGGTGAAATACTACCGCCAATGCTCAGTTCGCAGCTCAATGCAACGTTCTTCAGGAAGCTTGAAACCAAATTGTGAACTGGTTCTAGCTTACCTTCAAGCCATTAGGAAGTGTAGTGCATTCATCAGTAACTTGTTCCATGCACCGCCTGCGTTTCTCCGGTTTTTTCAGTTGAACTTCAGACGCCATTCCTGCATACATAATACAACTACTAGAGAACCGATGGTATAGCAGGATGGAGGTGGACTGTGATGGATACTTTGCTAAATCAACGAGCATCTAACCGTTATCAATGTAAACCGGTAGAGAAGGTGAAGACCCGACGGGCTGCACGTATACACTGCGTAAGTTTGCGAAACCTCCCGGACAAGCACTAGCTACGGCATCTATGACCTTAAATGAAATTCTCAATAATTAATGAAAGCTAAACCCAAAAAAGCCATGACACTTGAAATATTAAGATAATGAAACCATTTTTCCTAACTTTCCTTCAATTCACTCACCGCATCGAAATTCGAACTGAGATCCGACAACGGTTGCCCTAAATGACCAAACGGCACATGTCTGAAAGGAGATACTTAAAACTCTTATTCACTTCAACGACTTAAGAGTACAGGACATACACTCTAGTAGCATATCGCTGCAACTTCAGTACGACCGTTTTTACTGCATTTTCAATTGCTGTTACCAATGGTTTTGTGTATTTGAAATCCAACGGTTCCCTGAACGAGGTGCGTTCATTGGTGCAAAACTTCATATTTAGCTATAGTTTCTCCAAAGCTCACTTATGGACTTTGTAGAAATCTTTGCCGAGGAACGAGCGCACGGCCTTTGCAACACGAACATCGACCAAAAACACATCGTAAGCTGTTGCTAGTGCACGTCGCTGACTATATGAGTGATACTCTCGTTCTACTTGCCGCTTGGTCAAAATCTTTAAGAAGAAAAATAATAGCACCAGAATCAGAAAAAGGAAGAAAGCGAGAAACCAACTTTTGAATAGTGTTGATTGGTGAGGCCATGATCCTTTTCAATCTTTTCAGCCCACTGTCTTGCTTGCTTGTCTACGTCAGGATCTCTCTGAAAACCAGGTACGCATTTTATATATAAAACTGGTACGTAAAGATGCTAAAAATTAGATTCCATCTGAGCTACTACTATTTCTCCAACACCAAGCCACTTGTGGCTTATTCAAGAAAAAGAACACCGAAAAGGTTTACCCTTCCTGTAGCGGATTGGTCAAGATCTGGCATGATTAAACAAATCGAAGTATTAGCCGGTGTCCGAGGTGGGCAGGGGAGCGTACTGAAAAATGATTGGAAGACGATTCTCTCGACAGAAACTATTCAACGAACGCTTCGCTTACATTTTTACTCGCGCTCTGTCCGTCGTTAAAGCGGGTTTCTTATACACTATGGTGATGCCAACAGCCTGATCTATATCAGGAAAGAGAGATTTCTCATTTCTCTCTGCAAAATGCTTCTTCAACGCCCTTAGTGCTTGGCGACCCTAAATGATGAAGCTGTGCCGGTGAATGGCTTGAAATGAGTAACGCGATGGGAAATCGTTTGGAAGTTACCTGATCTTTTAGATTTTCGAATCTCTTCGAGTCACTTTCTTCAGGAATGATCGTTTCTTTGCTCTGGCTGTCAGCGGCAATTTTGAATTCGTTCTCATTTTGATTAGCATCATTGGGGGAGTCTGATTCGGCATCCAGTTTCCTCTTCCTCTTCTCTTTCGTTGCTAGCTTGCTTTGACTCTAAAAAAAAGGGTGGTCCGGAAGAAACTATCTTGATTATCTTGGTTAAAATAATAACCAAGTTTGCAAAAAACAAGGAAGGTCCTGATCTAAAGCTTTTGGTAATCCAGTAACATCAATTGAAATGTCATGAAGAGCAGAGTAGTAGGAAGTGATGCTACCACGGTTTGAGTATATGACTTGAGTAACAGAACCGTCAGTAACATTTGACCTTTCAATCTGGCTGATGAAAACATTGGCGCTCTTAAACAATAGCTTGTGGCACAAGCGGGTCGAATGAAGATTCGCAAATAGTATGGAAACGTGAAGATACTATTTTCTGTCTACTTTCAACCAAATAAATTGTTTCTATATGTTCTGGGTCCTTTCTTCCATATGCTGAACCGATTTACTTGTATCCAACTATGTTATAAAGAAAATAATGCCAACACGAAGGTAAAAGGTAAAAGACGAATTCCAGAGGTATCATAATACTAAAGCTACGTCGCTTCACATCAAAATGACAGGCAAGAACCGTTGAAAATGCTGACCCTTTTCCTACGTTTTACAAGCTTTGGAAAAACTGAAACTGTTAATTTCATCGAACAAGAAACAAAAATATGATAAAACGATTAAATTAGTACGGAACAGCTCACCTTGTCCGCATTCTTCTGCACTAACGCCTTCTTGACTTTCATCTTTTTTATCACAGCCATCTCTAACGCTAGAACTAAGGAGTGCGAAATGTTTAATGAGAGTGACAAAGACAGAATACTCTCGGTGAATTACCAACGATCCAGTGACAGAAAAAAATTATACAATTTTATTGAATCATAGCGAGTAATGGTATTGAATAAATGAACATTTCAACAACCAAATTCACGCCTTATCTTTATCATTTTTCTTCGCAGAAAACAGGCGTTCAGCTCTCTCACGTAGCGTCCCACCGCATTTCATCCCACGGGCTTAAATAAACGAAATTATCAAAGCCTTTAAACTATACAATTCTGCTTTACCCTCACTAACATGGGCAAAATATACTCCTTATAAAATCAAAAATAGACACTCTTCATGTTGCAATACCTGTGAGAGCATGTTTGAGATGAGCGAGTCCTAGCTCTTCAAGTTGAACTGGACTATCATACAGCGACAGATCTACCTCGAAAAATTCTGTTAGCTCGGTAGACTTTTCTTTTACCACTGAGTCCTCTCCTGATCCTTCTGCATTTGTATGATTCTAGAAAAGAGAACCTCTATTTTCACAATTATGAAGTGCAACGAATCAATACCACAAACCTCTTCTGTTTTGCCTTCGCCCTTCGACGATATGCTCGAGTTTTCAACCTTGGATGTTGTAGGTTCGTCATTTCTATTTGATGAAGTCGATTCCCCTTTTTGAGCAGCAAAGTAATCCTGGATTTCGCGAAGCAGTTCGGGATCAACATCATTTTCCTCGGAATCGGAACTGGAATCGTCATCCTCATCCTCCTCCCTGAAACTGTATTGCTGCCATTTCATAGTTAGATGTAAGTAAAACTTCCGCACCCATGATAAAACTTACATTTTCTTCTTTTTCTGTTCGATTGCAGTTGATGTTGCTCCTGCCTTTCGCTTTCGCTTGGCTGTCAAACTACCAGGCAAGTCATCAATATCGAAATCGGAATCTGACGAAGACTCCACAGGTTTTTCCTTCTTCTCACGCTCAGCCTTCAACGCTTCCATGAATCCTGTTAAAGCAATCGTCATCACCGCACAAATCATTTTAATACTTATTAACTCGGCCAAACGCAATCAAACCTGCTTCAAATGCTTCTTCGGTCTTCTCAATTATAGTTTCCTTTTGTCGCATATACTCAGGGTCATGAAACATATGCTTCGGGGGACCAGACTTTAACTTCTCATACTTGGCCTTCCTAAAATCAAGAGTTCAAGTAGAAACACCACTCAAAAATAGAAATCCTAAGGAACCCTTGCTGAACTACTTAACCATCTTTAACTAATGTGGTACAGTTGAATCACTCCGTCGACCTTCTAAGCGAGAACCCTCATTTAGTATGGAATCTTTTCATTGTGTTTGGGGAGCAGACACTAGAAAGGACTTTCTGCTACTGTTTAATTCTATAGTTTTATTTTATACTGTCAACTTTTTTTTCTCATACTAAGCTCGCTCTGTCAGAACCAGCACTCAGCACGGTACTAGTATCCTGAAAGATGTTCCAGTTTACCTCACCACCATCTTATGATAATAATACCGAGGAACATTTCGATAGCTAGGAACCGCGTATCCCTTCCCCTCATTTAAATCCCTATAAGGGGCCAGTGAAAAAAGATGAAATGACGTGGAGTGACTGACCATAATGGAACCAACCGTCCGCCTCCCAGCCCCGTTATTCTGAATAAAACACATCAGTACTGAAAAGATGTATCCAAAGCATTACAGTAGTAACATACTTTTTTGCAATTTTTTCTCTTTCGCGTTCTGCTGTTCTCTCAATCCACCTCTTCAGTCGCTGCTCTTCATCGATAGACGCGAGACGTCGACCATTCAGATCACGACACATCAACTGATTCGTACTTTTGTTAACACGGAAGGATCGAAGAAGAGAACCGAATCCTAAATATTCACGAAGATATGATCATTATGCACTACGATGCATATTAGACTGATATACAAACCTCCTTTCCCTCCAAGAATACGGAAATGAAGTTGGAAAAAGCCATCTGCCGGTAAGTCCTCAATACGCTCAAGAAAATTGTCAACTATTTCACCATCAAGGGTACAGTAGAAGGATTTCGGATCTAATGACCGAAGTGTTTCTACAATTCTTCTTTCCCGAATAGAGAAGAATGAGCGCTTTGTCAATTCTGTCCGCGACATAGTAGTCATAATCTGAACAACAAGTTCAAAAATCGAAAATATAAATGAAAAGCAAAATACCAAAGAAAAGCAATGGGAAAAAGACCCCGTATAATTACGAAAATAGCAAAATTTTGTCACACGATTATAACAAAAGCCGTCGGAAATGTTCGCTGCACACATTGCACCAGACTTGACGTTTCAAAATAAGTATCCTGAGAACCCCAACCGTGGTAGTGTTTTCTCATCTCTGCACTTTCTACTTCCGTCAATATCTGGAGTAAGGGGTCTGAGACAAAGGAATGGAGGCATGTAAAAAGTTAAAAGTGGTCAGGATGGAAATTGGAGCAGCGGGTGGGTGCACGAATGAGCTGGCCCTCTCCTAGGTGAGCTCGAACGTAGCACATATCATAAGAACAACCGCACGGCCCTTGTTCAACGATTTCCAAAAGCGCCATCAAAAATTACTGGTTGATGCGAAGGCATTTCGCTAATGATCGCTAATTGACTCCTCCCTTCGAACATTATCGTAGTTTTTGGGTGTTGCTCAATCCCTCTATTGATACGCCGCCACATCCTACATCCATTCAGGATAGTAGCGGTTGGGAATGTGCATGTGACCTGAGCAATGATGATGGCCAGTCAATGTTAAAGTCAGTGCTTTTATCCACCCAGACGAGTTCGGTTCGATCCCCGAACTTTGTCCGTAATCGTACACCATTCGCACTCTACTACACCCATATTGAACACGGGGGACGGTCAAGTCGTGCGTCCGAGGGCGCGCGCGGCGAAATTCATACCTATTCTGAAGACTTTAGCGCTTACTATTTGGGCCCAATTTTGAAGTACAGTAGAATACTAGGATCAGCTGACCTTACTAATCTAGTCTACTTCAGATTTTGGCCTTAATGGTAGGCGCCGGATTCGTCCAAATTCGCCACTAACTTCGCCGCGCAATTTGCCGCGCGCACTCTCGGACGCACGACTTGACCACATTAACTGAAAATCTCAAAACCGCCAAAACTGAATCGTAGCACCTCTATTTTTCCTTCCGTTTTCTACTCAAATCTTCTTTTCGATAATTATCAACAATGATTGTGCAATAGAAAGCTTTATACAATATTTCTATTATCCCAAAGTATTTGAATTCCACAAATATGACATATACACACTGAACAAATTGCACGTTACAATATCCTCTTCCTAATTGATTCTTACTAATAAATGTGATGGAAAGCGATGAACCTCGAAGTACTATGCGAAAAAAGAAAGGCAGCAATAATCAACTATCATGACATACTATTAAACTCGTAAAGGTAATAAATGTGGAATAAATAGCGAAAGTGAAGAGGGAGGCTTGAATAACTTGATATAGCGGCCTTCAATAATTAGCTATATGGAAACTATTAAATAACTTTATTAATCATGTGTACATGGAAAGAATATTCACTCGAATCACATATTTCTATTTTATTTACATAATTATACAGTAAAGCAGTTTTTTGGTGAAATCGTACACCAATAAAAAACAAACGAGAGACCCAGTTGAACTTGTTAAGGGGCATTACCGTGGGCTAAGTTGGCGAAGTGACAAGCGTTCCAGAAACTATTTCAATCTGATTTCTACAAAGAGCTTGAAGAACAAATGACCGACGAAAAGAGTTTTTATGATGCATCACAGACGGAGCAGAAAAAATCGAGTCAGGAAATGTCCAAGTCGGACACCTCGTACTCAATGACCTCTTCGAGCTGGTAACCGCCCCCTAATGCCAACAGGAACACGCAGACTACGGAAGTGCCAGTTGGGAGGCTCACCTAGGAGCTTCTTCTCTTCATCCGGAAAATCTTCTGCAGACAACTTCCTCGGGTTATCCGGGAAGGTGACAATCACTTCCGTTGCGCCGAATTTTGCACCATAATGTCCTGCCCAAAACTGACTATCTTTCCCGCGACTCATGACAGCCAACTTACGCATACCGCAAGGATAATCAGAGAACACATGCTCGACTGTTTCCCAGGACTTTCCACCTGAAGAATTCTCAATGAAACTGAAAACTGATAAAAAGTATGAACAAAGAAACGTACCTTCCCACTGGCCCCAAAACCTGGATTGTGTAGGGAAACGCGGTAGGATGACATTTTTATCATAATTCTCATCTCTTTTCAAGAGTTGCAATTTGAGTTCGTAAACAGCACCACAGTCTTCTCTGCAAGCACACCGTTCACGAACAGTGATAATTGGTCGGATAACGTCCATCACCCATCCCTAGAAACGAATTAAGCATGGTGAAACTGTACCTACAGGAAACTAATGAAGAAATGGGCACAAAGATAGTTCATATCAATCACGCCTATCTATTTTCTAACCTCGACTCCCGCTTTCTCCAAATCAATCTCGAAAAACCTGTGGCACCACTCGTAGCTCGTAGCAAAGCAGACAGGCACCTCATCGGTGCAGAACATAGGGGGATGCTCGACTATTATGCTGAAAGAAAACACGGTGAAGGTTTTCGACTGGTGGATGCTATAGAAGAGACTTAGGAATTGTTTCGATGCTATCTCCTTCAGGTTAGAATGATTTGGAGATCAGTTACTGTACATTCAATTCCAAACACTCTCTGATGAAAAGTAGAAAGACCAACAATTTGGAATGACTTTTTTTTTGCAAAATGAACTGCCAGTTGACAACAATAAGAAACACAATTAGCGTTTTTATTTTTGTACAATTGGCAGTTCGTTCTGCGAAAAAACGCAAAGAACGACAAAATCCAACAATACGTAAGGCTTACCCATCGCCCTGACTTTGAAAATGCATTCCTTTCTTTTCCAGTTTCTTTATTGTAGAAGTGTTATCCAATTCGATAGCCAGATTACGATTATATGGTCGCCGATAGAATATTTTTTTGTAATCGAAAGAATGTGCCACAGATGATTCGCCTTGCTCATTTGGCTCGTTTAGCTCTTTTTGTCGGAAAAACTTTCTCCAGCTTAGCGGTGGAATACCAACATTGTCATATTCACACTTCTCAATCCAAAACTGTGGTTGTTTCAGAATTCTGTGAAAGAGTTGACAAGCCTGAAAACATTTGGGATGAACACAGCTAAAGATGTGGCTAACAATGCAGTCATGACAGTAGAAAAGTCACCATCCTCACTGCCGAAATCGCTTTGAACTATTGATGACTTATTTTCTCGTCCCGATGACTTTGCAAAGTCAACGGGACGAGAAAAATGATTTTTCTGCGATTTTCCTTGAAGTAACTAAAAAGCTAAGTGCCATGGAATTACCTGATCCACATTGTTTAGTGTGCGACCGTCACATCGTTTCAGTACCTCGAACCATATTGTTTCTTCGGCGTAAAAGGGACTATCCGAACATGCATCTCCACGTTTCAAGAGATCTTTAGCAATACTGGAGAATAGACCTATCATGGCGAATCCTTAAATAACTGATTAGAGAAAACACAATCAAAACTCGCAAATCGCTGAGCCACAGAATCACAGATCTAAAAAATCGGATTACTCCAGAAATACATCTCGCTCTACAAAGCGGAAAGCCTGACATATGAAATTTTAATGACAAGAAAGATAACAATTAGAGCTGAAAAAGGGCAATCACATCTTTCGTAATAAAATTAACGATTTGGAAGCGGTTTGGAAAAGACAGCTCTTGACGATGAATTGATGTCCCCAAATAGGAAGAGAAAGCCGTCCGCAACGGCGATTCTTTCTCGATAGAGAAGGCAGCAAGCTCAAGGATGAATCACACTGCAGCACCCACGTACCTAGCTCGTAGGTGATTCAAGCCATCACACTGAGAGGAACGATAAGAGGACAAGAATTGTGAAACACACAGGACTCAAAAAAGGAAAAACAACAAAATATTTATTTTCGTATTCGAAGTCTTTTTTAGGGATATTATCATTTTTATATCAGTTACTCTACCCCTCATAGCCACTAAGTGCAACTTCTCCGCTACCGGTACGAAACAGGAACCGCTTCAGATCTTCGAACTGCAGTTACACTTTACAGTAGTTTTTAACTCCTACAAATGATGAAAGAAAAGTCAATAATTTATCAATTCAGGTAGAAGAAGTTCTGGAAGGAAGTAAGAACTGTTTATAAAGAAAACTAAGACATTCTAATCTCAGCAAGATAACTCGTCTCACGCTTTGCACTCATTAAGCTACTGGAACAAATTATGCAGAAGGCTATCGTAAATCCTTTAGTAAAGATATATCATCCCAGGACTAATAAGAAATTTCAGAGCGAGAAAAGTAATTGCCTAGAGCTCAGAGTAACTCTTCCAGAAATCTCACAGTACCTTTGTACACGATGTTGAAGAGAACTTGCTCTTAGTTTCTGCCTGAGTTTCCACTTCCATTTAGAAGCTTATGGCCCTATGAATGCATAAATCTGTTTGGTTACTCAAAAAAAAATCGAAAAATAACTTCGATGAATATACCAAGTACTGTGAAGGAGACGCTGCATTTTTTAGGGAACAATTTCATGAAAGATACGAAATTATGAAGAAAAGGCAAAAGTTCATCAAACTAACAAATATAATCTCAAAGCAAATAAGAACTAGATTACACGATACAGAGCGAGAAACGCTCGTGAAAATCAACAAACACTGCCACTCACAATCAAGAACCATATCAATCATCCAGGCCATGACTCAGCTTTTGAGCGTAGAGAAAATTGAATTGCGGACAATTCCCTCAGCTTGACGGCCTGGTCCTGGTTTCCTATTATAATAAAAACGATTTAATACCCTCCAGTTTCCGTGAGAGTTTCTTCCAAGTTGTTGAGTGGAGCTCTTAAACTAGCATTCTCCTTTAGTTTTTCTGTCCGACACTTGATGGCTGAGATCGGTTAAGAAAGGAAGAAGAATTGTACTTCCAGAAGTACCCCAACACCAGTAAGGAATCTGCTTTGGTCGAAATTGCGTTCCGTTTAGGCTTCATGTTGCTTCCAGTCGTGAAATGACAAGTGTTAGCGTAGCATTGTCACGGACACCACACCTCACCTTACGACAACGTTTTTCGGGTCCTCTAGGAGGATAGGGGTACAGTATGAACATGAATGGAGATGATATGCGACTCCATTCAACATTGAATAAGCTACTACGATTCTGAACGGAAGTCGAATGCAGGAGACATCCACTGATGGGATTGATTAGCTCGAATACCTCATGGCTGCATGTTATTGGACATTCTGCGCTGAAAAGCAATATAAGGGTTGTCCGCTAACAAGGTCTATGGAAGGGCTACGGATTAGAGCAAGTCCGTTTGATGGCTTTCAGTTTCTAACTTTTGACTGTTGGCATGTGATCATCCCTCGATGCCAACGACAACGTCACGAACGGCCTTCATCGCTGTTGCCGTCATCTGACGAGTAGACAAACCTTTCTTACTGAACAGTCTATGCCTCTGAGAAAAATCCACTTCAGTGCCATTCATCGCCTCAAACTGCTGATTAAAAGTATTATAAAGGAACTTTTTGGGCTATTGAAAAGAACCAACTCTTTCCGCAGTTGCGTTTTTCGCGTTTCGAGCGTTTTTTCTCATCATTATCAGCTTGATGAGAAAGGAGCTTATGAATTCAAATACATGACACCTGCCGGATCCTGTTGCTAAGATAACTTCATGGAATAGTCTGAACTAGAGCAAGCGAATCGTCGTCACATCGGGAGAGTCAACGATGAAAAGCACATAAAGAACCGATAATTGATGAATTCAGTTCCCATCTTCACTGGCGGAGTTCTATCCGATAGCGCTAGCGCTGGCCAACCCCGTTCTAGAGATGGAGAGGTTCGCGCGATAGAAGAATGAGGCCGAGAATGAGCTACGGGCGACTTGAGAGGTTGGTGGAAAGGTCCATTGAAGAATAACGATGGCGTATCAGGTGAGTCGGTTCTATCAAAACTGCAATGTAAAGAAAAAGCGAGGCGCACTATCACCTCAGGGTGGAGACACAAAACTGCAATGTAAAGAAAAAGCGAGGCGCACTATCACCTCAGGGTGGAGAGTGGTACGAGCACGACGTAGTTTGACTGATTTCGAAAATAGAGGCCTTGATTACCATGAAGAATAGCAAGTAAATACAATATGAAGAATAAAGACTTTGGCATTAATAAATCTAGTCTCGGATAGGCCCCGCTTTTGTCTCTCTTAAGAATCAGTTTGAATGTGTTTTTGGCATATGCAATGACTCCCGC